GGGCTGGCCGGGGGCTTTGTTGAGGTGGGCAAAGGGGATGAACGCCTTGATGCCCAGGAAGAAGCCGATGAGGCCGCCGTGGTTGTGGTCTGTGACGGTGAGCTGCACAGACTCGCAGCCGTCGCGGCACAGCTCGTAGGCCTGGTTTGGGGGGCGGGGTAGGGGGGTTGCGGAGGGAGGGTCAGCGGGAAGTATGTCAGGGATGGGCGTGCGGACGCGCGGACGCGGCGTTGCGCCGGCGAGAGGCCGGCCGCGGGTTGGGCCGAGCCGGGCCCCGTGCATGGCAGCGTGGGACGTTCACGCAGAGCGCAATTAGTGCTCTCAAAGCAGCCCGGGTCGCGCTACGCGGCAGCTGGCACGCCGTCAACATTGGACGCACGCGGCGCGGCGGGGCGCGGCACATCGGCGCACCTGCTGCGCGCGGCGCCAGGCCATGTCATGGTCTGCATCAGACGCCGACAGCAGGGGCCCCTTGCCGTTGTACGTCATGTTCTGGGGGATGTCCCTCACCTGAGCCGGACGGATCAGATCAGATCAGAGCAGATCAGATCAGGACAGATCGGATCAGCACGAGTGACAATGCCGCGAGGCGACCGATCAACATACTCGAGAGGCGAGCGCTAGACCGCCGGGCTCAAACGTGCCGCCCTGCTCTACGCCTGGCCAGAGTTGGCCCAGCCGCAGCGGCGGCCCGCGTTGACCGACCTTGAACGCGCGGATGTGGCCGAGAGGCAAGCCCAATTGGTCGCTCGGCTTGTGCTTTGAGGTGGCGTAGCGCGCCCTTGCCCCCTCCCCCTGCAGCGTGAGCGGCTCGTTGGAAGCCGGCATGAAGCTGCGCAGCGGGCGGCGGGCGGGAGGTGTGTCGGGGACGCCAGGTCGCGTGTGCAAGTTGGCTGTGTGGGTGGAGCTCGCTGCACGCGCGCGCCGCCGCCACCCGGGGTCCGCGGCGGGCGCCATGCCGTGTGGCGGGGACCCGGGACACCCGGGCGCTCGCGTGGGCCTGCGCTGCCGCCACCCGGGGTCCGCGGCGGGCGCCATGCCGTGTGGCGGGGACCCGGGACACCCGGGCGCTCGCGTGGGCCTGCGCTGCAGCATGCTCAGGGCGGGCGGCGTGCTCAAGCCGCGCAGACGCCCGAGCAGCAACACCAATAAACTGCCAGTCGGGACAAGGGGTGACCACATGGTGACATCAGCGGTGAGCATAATCCCTCGCGGCCGCCCTCACCCGATGACGCCCTCGTGGTCGAGCAGGCGCACGCGTGCGCCACCACTGCCGCCGTTGTGCACCACCTCCCCCATGACCGTGTCACCGACCGCAAACGCCGCCTCCACACGCTCGCCGAACCGCGGGTGCAGCTGCCACGCAGGCGTCTGGTGCTGCTGCTGGGGCGGCGACTTCGCCCGCTGCTGCCGTTGCTGCTGCGCGCGCGGCTGGTGCTGCCGCTGATTGCTGGTGCGCTGCTGCTGCTGCTGTTGCTGCTGCTCGGCCTCCTGCTGCTGTTCATGCTGCTGCTGCTCCTGCTGCTCCTGCTGCTGCTCCTCAAGCAGGGGCTGCAGCTGCACGTTCACGGCCACGGCTGCGTCACCCGCCGCTGCTGCGGCGATCTCGTCGCCTTGCGCCAGCGGCGCCTCTGGGTGATCGGCCGGGATGAGCTGGAGGGCCCCGCGCGGCTCCTCGTGATCTGGGTGGTCGGCCGGCAGTGATGCACCGTCCACGACATAGTGTGCGACGTTCAGCTGCAGCTGCTGCACGATGCGCGCGTCCTGCTGCTGCTGCGGCGTCTGAGAGGGTGACGCAGCGTCGCCAAGGCCCAGGTCGGCCGCGTCGAACTGCCCGTCGTCGGCAGTGGGACGGGAGGGGATGGAAGATACCCGTGCAAGCACATTACGGCGGCCTGCATGGATAGTGGCCCTAGGGTGTGCTACGCATGGGGCCGGGACACCGCGGGCCATCGTGGCCCGCGCGACTGAGCGATGGGCGCCCTGCATCTTGCCCTTTACGGTGTTATGTGCAGAGTGTCTCGGGATCAGCCAGGTTGTGCATCCTGCTTCGCACACCCTGCGTCCCTGTGGCTTCCTGATGAGATGGAGATCTCTTGAAGCTCTGGCCGGGAGCATCGGACCACTCCGTGGCCAATGCGCGGGTTCCGAAATGCTGGCGATTGACACTAGAATCTCTTTGTTGTGTCCATCATCACGCTCGCCCCCTTGGCGGCGCTGAACCCTCGCCCGAATTGGGACCTTCGACCCGTGTCGGGACGCCCACTGACGGTCATCGCTGTCGGAACAGCACCGCACAAATATGGAGGTGTGTTCAGTGCTCGCTGGCCGGCGCCGCTGAGCTTTGCAGGCAATGTGCCAATGCCCAGACACCAGCTGGCTGTCGCGGCGCAGTGTTGCGCCGCCAGGGACCACCTCTCATTATCCCCCGCCCCTCGCATGCACCGCGTCCAGGCGATCCCCGTCGGCCCACACGGCGGCGACGGGCCCACAGTCAAGCAGGCCGACGAAAGCTGCCGCGCCGGGTCTCCGCCGGCGCCGGCCCCCTCCGCCTCGATAGCAAGCGACACCACCGCGCTCCAGCCCCCGGCCAGCAGCAGCGCCGCGCCCGGCGGCAGCACCGCCAGCGCTGCGCCCGCGGCCAAGCTGCTATCCCTGGAGCAGCTGCAGGCGCTCATGCGCCAGCAGCCGCGCCCCCTGATCCCGCTGCTGCAGCCGCTCCTGCCGCTGCACAAGGCCGGCGGCGCGGCGCACCAGCAGCAGCTGGCGGCGGCGCTCAAGAGCAATGCCGCGGCCATGGCCGCCATCGCAGCGGCCACCGCGGCGCGCACGGCGGCCGTCCAGCAGCAGCAGCACCAGCAGCTGGTCGCCGCTGCGAAAGAGCAGGACGACGGGAAGGCACCCGCGGCCGGCGGCGCGGCCGGCGCGCCGACCGCGGCGGCGGGCGCCAAGGCTGTGCTGTCCATGCAGCCAGTGCCGCTGCTGCAGCTCGGCTTCAGCGGGCCGCAGCTGCTCGCCCTGAAGCAGGGGTCCGCCGCAAACGCCAAGCTGACTCAGCAGTTGCTGGCCGCGGTGGCCAAGCAGCAGCAGCAGATTCAGCAGCAGCAGCAAATCATCAACAAGGGGCAACGCATGCAGGCCGCCGGCCTGCCGCCGCTGCCGGCGGCAGCAGCTGTTGCGGCGG